AACAAAAGAGGACATATAATGGCCTCACTTCCCACTGGCTTACACATGGGTTAAAATCCATTTAAACGCCTATAGAATTATGACCATATTTTAAACAAAAGGGGTGTATGAAAGAGGTGCATTGAAGGAGTTTATTAAACATGAAAATGAAAATAATCCCAACTCAATCCCGCTTCACGACACCAAAAGAAACACCATACTTGCCCTCACTTCCTCCTAATCATGTCCGTTTCTATGGCAACCTTCCCTCATCATCCGTATTAATTAATCTGCTTTTATTTTATTAGGGATGCTTGTCTGCTTCCCCAGTAACACAAATGTCATTTCTTTTAAGGTTTGGTATAAAAGGTGATGAACACTGTTCGGCTCTGTCAGAGACCATTTGCAACCTTGTTTCTTCCTGTGCCTCAGTTTCATCTGTAAAGTGGGATCAGCAGCTGTCACACTGAGCACCATTCACGTGCCTCAGGGGCGTCACTTGCACCCCACTCGCACCGCCCTGCACCCTGTCCCTGAGGCCCCGCTTATCTTTCACGTGCCACTTCCCAGCGGGACTGCTCTTCAACAGGCCCTTGGAAACCCTCGCTTTATGTTAGAGTCCGTAATTCAAGAATTACCTCCGATCTAACATTTTAGGGTATCAGTTTCTGTCTCTCATTTTGACCAGGAGTTAGTTCAAGGTGTCAGCTGCTCACCTGCAGACGTGCAGAGGGCTGGGGTGTGACCACACGGGCCCTGCTGCCACCTCACTTGGCCCGTCTGTCCGAGGCAGTGTGTGGGGCCCAGGGCCAGCGGTGATGGCGTACGCTTACAGTACGGGACTGACACCCAGGTTGGCGGCAACCACCACCGGCCAGACCGTGTCCTAATCGAACTGTTAAGAATGTTTAAAGAAAGGTGCGGTCAGTGACACAGGCCTCCGTGCCCTCACTCAGTGCGTCTCCCATAACAGGGTCCCGGAAACACTGCTTCGCATCAGTATCCTGACAGGAAAACCAAAGGCACTCACTACGCTTGAGGAAAAAAGTCTCTAGTTGCCACAAGTAAGCTGAACCTTCAAGACCTAAATATTAGCTGTACTGGCCTCGTGTTTTAGTCACGGGTGGTTCAGTGGATGCTGCCAGGGGGTTTCTCTGGAGTGCAAGCACTTGCTTCTTAGAAAATAGGCCACCAGGCCACAAGGTCTGGAAGAGCACGGGCCAGGGCGCTCAGCCATGTGATGCGTGAGCGACGCGGCTGTCACGGTGGGTATGGAGTGCACCGGCGGGAAAGAGAAATTTGGGCTGAATATTCAGAAAGTGCTTTTATTTTAATTATTTACTTTTTTTGGGAGAGCAATTCAATATGATTTTTAAGTGCATAAACTTGCAGAGAAATGGAATTTATATAGTTTTCTGACCCCGTGCAGCATCCACATGGAAAAGAAAATATAAGGTTGACAGATAAAAGAAGTTATCTTAGAAAAAAGAAAACCAGAAACTTAAAATGAACTATAGCTAACATTTCTCCCATAATTAAAAATACATTAAGAGTGATTGAACTAAATGTAATATACCGCTACACAAAATTGCACAAGCAAAACATAGTAGATTTTACATTATCTGCATCCACAATATATAGGAAAAGCTTTTAAGTTTTCTAGAAGAGGTAGCTTTGTCTCCATATCATAGCCTGGGACTTGTCCTCAGCGTAATGACAGTTAGAACTTGGTTCATTTGTTGTCGGGGCTGGTGCCACATGTCATTCAGCAAGCATGGGACGTCCTGGGAAGGGCTCAAATGTTACGCCCTTGTCCATTTTCATCACAATGTGTATTGATAATGAACATGATATAGCTGTAACCAATTCTTGGCTTGTG